TGTGTTGTGGAGTAGAGATCTAGAAAGGGGGAGGGGCGGATTTGCTCTCTAAGTTGCTACTGAATTATAAGGACCGTGGAAGAGAGGTTATGAACGAACGATGGTATATTTAATGTAATCACATTTATTGATGAAATAAATAATCCGCTGACATAAAATGTATTAGCGGGTAGGCTGGGGTTGGCTTGTAGGCAGGGGGCAGGTTCGTAAGCGGAGCAGGCTTGAGGCAGGGGCAGGTTCGTAAGGCGGGGGAAGCAGGCTTGTAAGCGGGGCTTGTAAGCAGGAGCAGGCTTGTAGGCAGGGCAGGTTCGTAAGGAGGAGCAGGCTTGTTAGGCAGGGGCAGCTTTGTAGGTAGGAGCAGGTTTGTACTCGGAGTGCTGGGCCTCACCCTCGTAGCTGACCTCAGCCACGTAGCCAGAGTCGCCGTTAACAGTGTAGGTCACCTTCTGCAGACGACCGTCGGGAAGGAGGACGTAGTAGGAACCTTGGTGTTTGTACCCATCACGAGCTTCCTGGTGGCCGAAGTCGTTGCCGGAGTAGTCGTCCTTTACAGCATAGTTGAAGTCGTATTTGGCAGGTTCCTAAAGAAAATTCCGAATTAGATGTACATATCATAAACGAATTCCCCCAAGTTTAGCTGTACAAATAAACAAACTGTGAAACATTTGCTTATTATTACGAACTGAAACTAACCTCATATGTGGGTTCCGGGGTATAGCCATACGTGGGCTGTGAGGGAGTAGCTACAGCGACAGCCACAAGGGCCAACACGACGGCGGTCTAGAAAAGGAAGTTAATGTTAATTTTAAATGATTCAGATGGGAAATGCAAATATAAATCCGTTTTGAATCCAGTCATACATTATTTGAGACCAATATTTTTGTCTACAGTAGTTCTAAGTCCCAGATCACCTTTGAGATCATTGTGAGAAGTCTGAACGTTTATGGTAATACAGCTGCTGTCTCTGAGATTTATATAGTTGCCAACATATGGGTGGGGCCGTGATTGGACGACAGAGAAAGGGAATCTATGGTCACACTGGAGACCTTGATCGTGAACCTAAACTGAAAAGAAAAAACATGTGGCTCATATAGATCAGTGGCCACACTGTCAGATTTTTTCCTTGGAATGTAAAAATAATGATAACTGATCATACACAGAGAAGAATATTCTGAAATGTGCTGTAACCATCATTATTCCTTATCGGCATTGCTTGCATTGTCATCATTATTACTATTATTGTTTTATTTCCTCATACCATGCACATGTATATACAGAATAAGGATGATCGAGCCTTTGCCTTAGAAATGAACACCGTACTTTTATTATAGAAACTTATTTGCACTTGAAAGTAGACCATTAAGTTCTCCACAACCTAACCCTAACCGTGTTCCTTCCTATGGACAATCATAAGACACTTCATGTGTTTATAGAAAAGATATTGGCAAGGGGATAAGTTGTCTTCTACGATACTACCTTCCGAAGGTGAAGATCCCCTAGATAGCTTAACTTTGGATCGTTTTCTAAGATGGAGAAAAATGCTGCGAAATAACTCATGATAGACGCAAATGAGTCTTTCGAGAAAGATTTCCAGCAGCCGGAGGATCAGTCTAGGCGGATATATATATATATATATATATATATATATATATATATATATATATATATATATATATATATATATATATATATATATATATATATATATATATATATCACATGCAAATAAAAAGGCTTTGCACCTTCAGAAAAAATGACTCCCATATCGTTTTAGAGTTGACTTTTTCGATGTTTAAATTCACTCTTTTTTAGGTGCAGTAGGTGTTATGAAAATAGTAATAATAATAATAATTTGATTTTACCTGTTTGATTTTTTTTTCTTTTTTTAATCACCTTTCCTACTTTTTTCAAGGCGAGCTGCTCTTCGTCGGAATCGATCTATGGGTCAGTTGAAAGTTTCACATCATACCGAATGGAATGTAAACGTATCACAATAAAGGAAATTGAATATAGAAGGGGGTAATGTGAAAATGTGTTGATAATGCATATTCACGTACAGATAGCATACCTTGATAAAGTTTCGGGAGAGAGCTGCATGCATACATACATACAATAAACATATTTATATATATATATATATATATATATATATATATATATATATATATATATATATATATTATATATATATTATACACGCATGTAAGTATATGTATTACATTTACATATATTGTGGAAGTATAACACATAAAAAAATTAAACACACACACACACAAACACACACACAGATATATATATATATATATATATATATATAATATATATATATATATATATATATATATATATATATATATATTGTGTGTGTGTGTGTGTGTGTGTGTGTGTGTGTGTGTGTGTGGTGTGTGTGTGTGTATGTATAAAAAATATATATATATATAACATTTCATGCAGGTTTTTGTTTGAGTAGATATAACAACGAAGGGGATAAAATGGGATA